TACGTATAAGCACATCAATAATACACTGTACCGTACCCAATACCTAAGACTGTACCGTACCCAATGGGGTAATACCTGTTTTAAAACTATGCTGAGAAATTTATTTTATTAATATAATTAAAAAATCAAAAGTTTTTTTTTTTAATAGTAAAATATTCACAACTTATAAATTTATACTATAAAGACCCGAAATATTTACACATAATTCTTAAATGTCGCAACATAGTTTTATAGTCACACTATCTAAATATAATTTACAAGTTGCAGAATTGAATTTGCTTTAATAGTGCGAGAGTAATAACGTTATAAAATGCAAGATTTAAATTAAATAAAATATTATGCTATATATTTTATATTTAAATTCATATTTAAAACGTTCTTATCTCCCGCACTAGTAAAACAAATTCAACTCTGCAACTTGTAAATTATATTTAGATAGTGTGGCTATAAAACTATGTTGCGACATTTATGTAAATATTTCGGGTCTCTATAGTATAAATTTATAAGTCGTGAATATTTTACTATTAAAATTTGCAATAAAAAAAACATTTGGATTTTTTAATTATATTAATAAAATAAACTTAAAAATGTCCCAACATAGTTTTAAACTACATTATTCTAATTTTGAAGATATGCGAGTTTTATTATAATAAGATACTAACGTTCATATATAGTGCCGCACTATGATACTCAACCATTTGATGTGTAATCACTGAATTATTTTTGTGTTACTTATTCATAATACAATACACAAAGTTTCATACGAGGTGAATGAAAATTTATTAAATATCCGAATGAGTTATACAAAAGTCATTAACTGCTTACGTCAAACATGTCGGATAACCCAGTTATCAGTTAAGTTATGGTATACTAGGAAAATGCGTAGCATTGTTAGATCCGTAGCATATCATATGATCTCATTACACAAACGGTGAATATTGTAAAGGGCCAGCGTGACCTTCCGGCCATCGACCTATTTATTTATTTTTTATTATTATTTTATTTTGATATATATTTATTTTTAGTATTTATATTTTCGTCTGTTGTACCTTACCGATATATACCATTATAGTAAGATCATTACCTGTAAATAACAGAAAACTTGTTATGATAAATTCGATTTATCGAATTTATCAAATTTATGGCATAAATTCGATAAATTGATTTTATTCAAATTGTATTTACTAGTATTGCTAAAAGTATAAAAGCGATACCTTTTTCCCTCAATAAAATAACAACTTTGGCAGAGTTCAATTAGACTCTAATAATTTCAGTGTTGGAAAACCAACTTCGAAATTCGAGTAGAAGTTTGGTACTTAAAGTTCTCATTGTTAAGTTATCGTTATTGTTAAAACCCTACCTTGTATAATTCTAAACTGACCTGTTCAAGGCCAAACAATAAGACAATCGCTCTTTAAATAGTCTTATAGATAAACCTTTCGATAAAGATTCCCATTATTGAATCGCTAACCAATCGGAACGAAGCCCAGATCACGTGCTACGTGATAAGAATTAAAAGTATAAGAGTCAAAAGATTAAAACAAGAAACAACAGGAATAAAAGAACAAGAACGAGACAACACCTACCTAAAGGAATCCTCTCTACAATCCTAAAACCCGGACCAAATCCTCCACGCCCTCTTTCAGCCTTCCACTTAGGGTTGATTGTTAGGACCTAAACACTGGTGTAACCTAACCTCCGGTCGAGTTCTGACCAGAGCCGGTTCACACCTTTTCAATATGCATATTTTGTTACATTAAATTAACGAATTTGAACACGCGTGCGGACAGACAAAAAATTTCCAAATTACGCTTTTGATATGATCTTCATAATATTTATGAAGGTGCATCAAAAAAGCAACTTTTTGGGGAAGAAGTCATCAAAAACGTAATTTTTGCATCACTTAATGCATAGAAATTGAGGATCCTCCGCTACGCTCCGGATCAATGACATGACAGAATATTTTTTTTTTTTTGTTGTTAACGTCATAAGCATAGTATCAAGTACAATGCAGGACCCTGAAAAATTTCAAATATTAAAGAATAAATCGCATTTTTCAGTGAATATTGCTTTATAAAACAATATTTCAGATTTTGTATGCAATGTAAGTTACACAAAATTTGATTAGATTGCTATTTTTATACACCAATCATATTTTCAAATTTCGTGTAACTATACATATTGTTCTTCTACGTAGTGATGGTCTAAGGGACGAAGAGAAATTTTTTGTAAGGTTTTATTCTGTCTTTTACGTTTTTTGACATTCGCTTGAGTAATTGTTTGTCTATGGGTGGAGGTGTGAATTTAATGTTTGCATTTCGAGGGAAGGTTTGCAGAAGGCGTTATCGAGTTTCGTTAGGAATTTTATTTTTCTTATAAATCTTTGTGAGGAGTTTATTCATCTTTCCAATAGGGATGAATATAGTATCGTTAATGTTTGTGATATCGTGTTCTTCATCTGAGACATGTTGAATATCATCTTGCGCGTTAGTAGTAATATTTTGCGTGTTTATATCGTTAGAAGTCATGAAAAATGAGCATAGGAAACTTTGGGAGTTCTAAAGTTGCGGACGGCAAACCAAATAAAAACTACCTAATAAGGTTAGAAATATTTTAAGGAAATATTTATAATAGTTATTTGATTTTCTACTGATGTAAAATTATAATCTCCACATGATTGGACGCGAACCAATAAAAACTAACCAAGTCACATGATCTGCGATTTACTTATCGAGCGAAGTTCATTACAAATTTTACCTCCCGTGGAAGAGTTCACGGTTCATACCAACACATCGACCGATTATGGAAACTAAAATGCTACGTTAGTCTTTTAAAGTTGGACTCAATTTTAGGGTTAACTTTGAGAATGAACCTATAAATAATTGATCAACCACATGCATGATTTTATTAAAGTGCGCCACCGGCACTCCTGAAAAAATTTTTAGAAAAACTTGATACGTAGTTTAAAAGAATCAACCTACTAAATATATATTTTTTTTTGTACATTTACACGATTCATTATTTTACATTTCACCAAGAAATGCTAATTTAACAGTTCCTCGTATTTATTCTAGAATAATCTTCAACCTTAATCTTATCGTTATCAATTCAATATCTAAACCATTTCCTATAAATACTGTACGAACATCCGCACACACATACATGTATACGAAAAATTATTTCTTCCCATTTTTCTTAAACTTCCAATTTACATTATTATGGACTATTAATTACTGAGAAGATAATTTAATTTTTTATTCTAAACTGTAAAAATTTTGGATTTAATGTATATTATCGTCAACTTATCCATGTTTACCACATGGAGATATCTCTATTGAAAAAGATGAAAACATATATTTTACGTTCAAGTAAAAAAAAAAAAAAAAAGATTGCTGATATACAGTATATTATACAGTATATATTATTATCGAAAAAAATCCAGCATATCATTTGTTAATAATAATTAAACCATTAATTGTTATTCTTTTTGATTAAAAATTTGGCAAAAATGTCTTACTTTGAGCCGTTTTATAGATAGACTTTGAAAGTCGATTCTGATATCGTGAGTTTCACTTATTTTTTATTACTATTATACTAAATAGGATTAAAGCTTTTTTTTTCTAATCAATTATTACTTTAACTTTCAAATCTATATATTTAAAATTCTAACTAAATGGACTTGGATTCATTTGTAATACAGACATGCTAAAATTAGTACCGGTATCGTTATAAAAAAGGATACAACAATTATGATGTCGTGTCTCGTATGACAACCGGATGTTAGCATTTCAAATATAATCATTTGATGAGTATTATATACAGTAATATGTTTAACAGGGTTCTGCAAATGCCGAGCACGGTACTATTACGTAATTATAATGCTTGGCACGGGTACCCAGCACCTAACAATTATGTACAATGGTAAAATTAATAATTGTTTTGGTATGTATTACAATCTACATTCTAGAATATTCTTTAGTATTACGTATTCTAAACGAATAACTTTTTGCAAGAATATATGGACAAGTTTGATTTTTCCGTTAATTTTCCAATTGATTCATTAATTTTTCCAATTATCCATTATCAAGAAAAAGACATAAAAACTCTGTGGACGTTTCTTTTCAGAATGGTGAGAACTTTAATTTTTTTGAAAAATAAATTTTGGAACATAGTGAATATCCATTAAGCATATTTGGGAAAATCATTTTATACCGGTATACAGTATTTGTAAATTTGGAAGGAATATATATTGGTATTATTTTTCAACCAGTTAAATACTATATTGCTCAAAATGGAGTCGACCGACCGTTCCAAAAAAAATCAAAATGATGAGAAATCTACGAATGAGAATGTTAGAACTAAAAATTCTCAATCTTGCGATTATTGTAGACATAAAAGGGTTAAATGCAATTATAAAAGCGGTGTTCAATGTAGCGAGTGCATCAAATATAACGAAGTTTGTACATCCAAACCCCCGAAAAAGAGGGGCCCTAAAGCTAAGAATGAAACTGATTCAAGCACTCAATCTAATGCCAATAGGGATTTACGAAGCTCAATTTTGCAATTTAAAAATGGAAATAAACAGCCTTTATTCGATTTAATTGAAGAAGCTCTGACAAATGAACACTGTGTTGATAACGAACGAATATTATCCAATTTAATTATAAACGAAAATTTGAGCGGAAACCCTTTAAACAATGCCGAAACTCTGCCAAGAAGGAATTCTTCAGTAAATAATGAACAAAGATTATCGGTTGTAACTCGACCATCTAGAACCACCAGGCAACCTTCTCCGACTCGCGAAAACCGTCAAATGAGGCAAGATAACAGAATCCGTGGATATAGTGCTGGTGTTCATAGTAGTGCCTCTCATTCAAATCCTTCAAGTCCTTCAAGTCCAATTTATGTTTCAATGCAGTCGGAGGGCGAACCTAATTTACAATATTCGGAAATAACTCAACACAATGCCTCAGATTTAAGTTCTTCCTTAAATACTGATACCCCTGAATTTGATCAAGCGAATTATATAACTTATCAGCCTCTCAATTATAGCACATCGAGTCAATTATTACCTTTTATCGATGCACCGATTATATCAGAAAATGTATCGCCTGATGTTAATTTCCCATCAGGGAATGTATCACCTGATGTTAATTTCTCATTTATTGGATCAGGAAATGTATCACCAGTTGTTTATTTCCCATTAACTGGATCAGGAAATCTATCACCTGTTGTCAATATCCCATTGATCGTAACAGGAAATGTATCATTGTCTCAAATTATTGGAATAGGAAATGTATCACCTCATATTAGTTCCACTATAGTTTCTCAAGTCCCACCAATGTCACCGTTGGACTTGGGTGATACTCTTCTAAATTCTACCACGAATCTCCAGGCCACACCACCATTGGAATTAATAAATACATTACCTATCCATCCCAGCATGGTTTTCGAAAATATGTCATTGGGAGAAATAGATCAATCTGTTCTTTTCAATTCTAACGCGTATCAAATGCCCAATTCAGAAGTGGATCAATCATTTCTTGCCAATTCCAATGAAAAAAGTCAATATTTGACAATTCCAATGCAGAACAAATACTCAACTTTTATGAGATGACTAATCTAATTGAATGGTGGAATAATCGTGATGCAATGTCTTTGACGGATTCGAAACCATCTTTCGACAATCATTTATATCTTTTAAACTTAAATATAGTCTAAATTTTAGTAACAAATTATAATTTGTGATTGGTAAAATGTAATGATAACTTTTAAAGCAATAATTGGCAAAAATGTGACAACAAATTTTAAAACACTAATTGGCAAAAATGTGACGACAAATTTTTAAACAATAATATCTTTGTTGTACCTATTCTTTCAATTAATTTTAAGTTAATATGAGAATTTTTATGATTTATTTTTTTTAACATTACGATAATATTTCTGTAAAGCTATATATTATATATTAAAAATGCTATTGAATTTAAAAAATAATAATATATACAATAATGTTAATAGTTGACTTTCTAAACCAATATGTATAAACCAGAATAGAATCATTAAACTCAGGTTTAGTTCAAATAAACTGGAATAAGATCATTTGAACCCAGGTTTAGTTCAAATAACCTGAAATGAGAACATTTGAATTCGAGTTGGATTTAAATGAACCGGAATAGGATTATTTGAACCCGGAATAGGATCGTTTGAACCTGGGTCCGGTTCAAATAAACCCGGAATAGGACCATTTTGGTTCAAACGTTCCTATTCCAGGTTTAATGAACCAGAATAGGATTATTTGAACCCGGAATAGGATCGTTTGAACCTGGGTCTGGTTCAAATAAACCCGGAATAGGACCATTTTGGTTAAAACGATCCTATTCCGGGTTCAAATAAACCCGGAATAGGACCATTTTGGTTAAAACGAACCAAAAACAAGCACAGATCCTATTGGAAAAACTATAATATTAGGACTATTGGATATCAGGAATGGCAGGTTATAAGAAATTAAATATGGAACAGTCACACCCTTCATTAATTATTTGCGAAAGTATTAAAAAAATTTTTAGGTACACAATTAAATAATAAATTTAAACTG